GTGTTGCCTCCCGCTCTCCCGATTCTTATCAAATTCTCCCGATTTATAATAAAATTGTGAAAACAAGGGAAAAAATGCTAATCTTAAGTATTTTTTTGCGATGTATTATACTTTCCTCTCATATCATATCACCCAGTCTCTCGCCGTGTGTTATGCAGACTCATCAGGCCAGCAGTCTTACTCCATTTAGCAGCTCCAAAATGCAGGAAAAGGCATTTAAGAAAACCTAAATTTGCACAATTTCCCGGTGAGCATGGCCCCAGACCCCCCTAGAGGCTGCTGCCTTCGGCGCTAAAAGAGTCTCCCTATTTTCCTTCAAAAGGGGTTGGAATCTCTGCTTAAGGTAATTCGAAAGTTCATTCCTAAGTTCGAAACAGATATTGAATGTTCTTTCTTACTAAGCTATTAATAACAACAAGCAAAGTTCCAGCTGAAGTGGTTTTTACATCCCAATGCAAATAAAACTTTTTCACGGAGATCATGTCAGCGTTAATTGCACCATTCGTTCCAAAAAGTAGACGTGCAAATTTACTTCGGCAACCGTGTTACTAAGCAGGTTGATTTTTATCATTCAGAAAACACTTAGAGATCTTACTAAGCAAGAACGTTGAGCCAGATTGGATTTCAATGTGTCTTTGCATGTAAATAAAGGCCATCTCCATGAAATATTTCATTTCCCATCGCTCGACCGACCCAGCTTTATCGAAAATTTAAAAACAGAGACGTTTTTTATTCATTGCTTGCACCCATTTTTTCAATAATTCTGTTGTCCGCTTATATTTGGTGCTAATAAATTCGAATTAGAGTTGAAATATTAGCCCATCGACGGAATAACTTTCACGAGAGGGCGATCGATGGACTAAGCATCAGCTTTCTTGCGTTCAAAGTCTACAAACAACTGAACCAAACCTTCCTACAAATGAAATTATAAGCTTTTTCCTACCTTGATCTAACCTGGAGTTCGTTTAGGACACTTCTTTAAACGTTAACAAAATGGGATGAGGTAAAACGCATCAACATCACGCTTTTGATTTCTGCTTGTTTCACCAGCTTTCACGGAAGCTTCTAAAAGGATTCTGAGAAAAACAACTTCTTTGTGACGGGTTGCTGTACCGAGCCAATCAGAGAAGCTGAATTCATTCGCGTGACCCCCATGTAACGCAATCAGCAAGCGGAACACTTCTGAAGCGGCCATAAAAAAGTACATTTTCTGATGTACCTTCGAATAGGTAGAGACTTTAAGGAAACTAATCAGATAAAAAATACTGGGTTCTCTTTCTACATCAGTAGCAAGTGTAAGGCCTCAGTAGAATGTTACTGGTGAAGGCTCTGAAGTGCGACCAGCGAGGTGAAAGCTAACGGTCCTAAAGAGCAGTTATTTCCTCTGGTACTACTGTCATTGCATGACTATCCATGTACTTCATTTTAAATTTCACAGTTGAAATGAAAGTTACGGGTTGACTCTCACAGAGAGAAGCATTTTAAAGAAGCTTTCGTGTGTATTGGAGCAAGGTGACGAGGCTTTTCCTCGGAGTAAGACCATGAACTGCCTCACAGATCTGAGAGATTGACTAGCCTTTGAGTTACTAGTCTGCGAAAACGCTCTTGAAATGTTAGTTGGATTACAAAGTGCAAATCCGGAAAAATCCGGCTTGCATCGACCAATGCGTTGAAACAGCACATGATTTCCTTGAGTCTCCAAGGAAAGACTTTGGTTTGGAGAAGTTTAAGACCATTTTACAAGCACCTGATTTCCCTGATCTGACCCATTCCCACTCAGTTCGTTGATCGAAAATCGTCGTCGCCGAAATTTACTTGACTGCTTATAATTTCGTTTCTTTCTTTTCATGTGGAATATGAGATTCAAAAGAGCCTTAATAATGTTCAACAAAAAAAAAAACAAAAAAATAAAATAAAATAAAATAAATGAAAAAAAATGAAAAAAATAATAATGTTCAACCGTTTTCCCCAATATTGTGGTTTTTTTTTTTTTTTCTCATTTGTTTGGGATGAAAACTATTTCAGTATGGCGCAATTCATAACATGTAAAGGGAAGCTTCCTTAACAAACATTTTAAACTAGTTGTGCTTGTAGGAGGGCTAAAAACAGCGTTTTTTCCCAAATAAGTTTAATCAGTGGTAAGTCCAATGTAATGTGGAAAGCATTGTGTAGTCTATTCTTCACTGGAATTCTATGGCCTGAGAAAATAAAGCGCTCTGCTTTAAAACAAGAAACGGTAACAGCTCCAAGTGAGCAATCCTTCATGAGGAAAATATTTTGCCTTTAGTGTCTCGGCATATTTTAAGTCGCTGCAATATGACATCAGACTAAAACAATTTAAGAAACCCTGAGTTCAAAGTGGTAATAAGCCTATCGATGGAAAGTTCAAAGCAAAAAAGAAAACCTTAAGGGTTGAAAGAAACCCGGGGTACGTGGCTACAGTTTAACATCTATCAACAATTGAATGTCACTCATAATTATCATCGGCCAAGGGAGACTTGAAAGGCGTGTACTCATGAACTTTATAGCCTGTGCATTCAAAGAATGTTTTCGGTTAAATCCTGACTACCAAGCCATTCTACTCGTGATAGTTTTGTTATTTATCTCCGTGTTGTAGAAACCGTTTTGTGGGAGTTTTGAATTTCCTGCAGACTAGGAGATGGGGACCAAAGGAGGGAACCATCGGCGTTTTAAAAGGACTCCCCTGGCTAGCTCATTGAACTACTCAGGTGTAAGTTCGCTTGAGAAAAAACAATGAAAACAGTTTTTTTTCTCTCACACGTTTATTTGTCAATTCAACTCTTCATCTAACAAACCCAAACTTTAAGGCAAAATATATGAAATCGCGAATAATAAAAGTACACTCATGAAAACTAAATCAAACAGTTAAATTCAGTAGTACGTCGTTGTGCGATATTCATTTACAACTTAGCGTTGTTGTTCCATGAGAGCTTTTCGCTAACCGACTTCTTTTTCGTAATAGCTTTTTATGAGGACGTGGAGGCTAGTATTTGGCAAAATGTTATGACTACACTAAAACAGCCATCTCATGCTGAAAGTCAGTGAAAAACGTCTTTGTTTTTACATTTACAATGGTCAATATTATAACGGGTAAAATAAAGCATAAAACTTTTGTGGATACATTCCTATTTACCCCCGGTTGAACATAAACAATCGGTGGTTTTGTTAATCTGTTTGTGTCTGAATGTCGTTGATTTAAAACTGTTGAAAACATAAAACTATCCATAACGCCATGATGACCATGTTGGAAACCGCCATTCATCAAGCAGTTTTTCCTTACTTGGGAGTATCCTAACAACGTTTTAGATTCAAATTATCAAACAAAAAGAAACCAGTTAAGCCTGCCCTTAGCCTCAAAATTGTTAAAGAAAAAGAAAACGATTAAATAGTGTATGATAAGTATTCAATGTAATGTAAATAATGCTTAGTGTAGGGAGCCATAGCAAAAAAAAAAGGAAAGAAAAAGAAAAAAGTTAACTTAAGGTCGGTTATATAATACACTGTAGCGTAATGTAATGTAAAGTACATGTAATACATTGCAATTTATTGTAAATTTTAAAAAAGCTACTTTTACATATAAGAAATAGGTACAAGGTTTCTGATTATATTTAAAGTAAATCAGTCGTGGACAAAAAATACAGAATACCACTATCGTAACTGTAGCATTTTATCTTAGCAAATATCTTTGCAATGCAAGTGACTTTTAATGTAATGAAGCGTAAGTGTTGACGAAATAGTAAAAAAACAATAAAAAAACAGTGCAATTAATTAAGCTCAATTAGTGATAACACTCATTTACTACCTATTCGCACATTTGTGTATACTACTGCACCTCACAGATTCTGGACTAGAAATTAAATTATTCATTTAGTAAATGATTATCGTGCTAAGCATCAATTTCTCACTAAACTTACTGAACAATAAAGCCTGTAACAAGTTCCAAAAACCAGTTATGGGCGGGCGAGCATGCTTAGTTTACATATGATACCAGCCGCTCATTTTGTAGAAACATGAATCTCCAAAGTAGCTTGACCATGGCTGGTCATAGAGCCGCGAAATTTACAACTAGTACCGAGGTCTCTTTCATGCCAACCATTTGCCTTGAAGGGGTTTGCGTCATAGTACAGATCGCTCCACATACTATGGCTGGCCTTTACATCTCCTCTGTAAAGCTCCACGTTCCACCAATTTTCGTACCAGAAATAATCATAAGGAACAGACCACATCACAGCAAGCGTTCTGTGGATGTTTGGAACGTAGTAGGTCAGGACTCCAACGGATCCCTTGAATCCACCAGTCTTGCGAGCTCCCCATACTACCGCTTTCCCTGTGGAAAAAGAAACAGATGAAAACAATAAGTAATGGTAATAGGACTAAGTGGAGTCCAATTCGGTCTGTTATCATAAGAGTGATAACAAAATCACTGATTGCAGACCGAATTGGACGTCACGAAGTCTTATTGCCAATTAATCGTAAAAATTACAATTTCCGAGAAAAGTGAGAATAGCCAAGTTATTAAAGAAAGGGAAAATTTGCATTAAAATACCTACAAAGGAGATGTAAACATTCTAAGGCCACCGCGCCTCCTACCGGCAATTAGGCGCCAAAAACACAATTAAAAGCAAGCGCGCGCACGCACGCACGCATGCACGCACGTAACTACAACTTTGAATGTGATTGGTTGATTTAAACTACAACTTTGATTGTGATTGGCTAACTGAACTGTCCGATAACAACTTGGTAAGTGAATTAGTAAATATAGGAGTTTTTTAAACCAATCACAATCGAGGAAATTGTAATTTTTATGACTACAATGATAATAATTACGCTTCTTACCACAAACAGACCCTTGCGGAAAACACTGAACTTCAAAGAATCATAACCCCATAGAGATATCGGTGCGGCTTTTGGAAGCCACTTAAGGATTATATTGATGCTTGTTTTCCTTGTCATACGTAGACACATAAACATTGATGTTCCAATAATCAAATGCGTACACATACGTTTGAAATTTCGTAGAAATAGAATAAATGTTTTAAAAACATTTCAAAAACACGTTTCAGATACTTAAGCACATCGTCAGTTCGGGGAAGTTTACAACTTTGTTACTAGAATTGAATACAAAGTTGCTAACATACTGTGAATACTGAAAATCCGACACGTTTTTTATAAACTCCAACGTTTCGTCGTGTTTTCTGAAATGTTTAATAAATGCTTAAATAGGACATATTAAGAACTCTCAACGCAAAACTGCCCTCTGTACTGAGTGGCTTGGTTTTCGTCTGAGCTTTATTGGCAACGGTTTTATTTCGTTCTTAGTAATAACAAAAAATCCCGGTTCTTTTCAAGAGACTCCGGGTGCTTACCATTTAGCAAAAAAATCCGGAAATTTCGGTTGAAAGTCAAATGGAACAGTAATTTTCCGGAAAATCCGTTCGGAAATTGTGGACTACCTCCAGAGGTATTCCTCTTTTTCCGTTCGAAACGGAACGGTGGAAATTTCCTTACCATTTGCTAAATTTTCCAGTTTCCAGGCTCTCATCAGCCGAAAACAATTTCGAGAAATCGAATTGCAAATGGTAAGCGCCATCTCGTTCGGTTGGTTTGCTGATGTTGCAAAAACCCTTACCATTATTTAACGGTCATCCCAACCGGTTTATTCTGACAAATGGTAAGCACCCTCCATCTCTGAAAAATGGGAATATTACTTAGGAAATCATACAACAAAACAAGCATTTATTTGGCGTGTAAAGGTAAAGGTGAAGGAAATTTTTGGCAAGAAACTTATCAAAAAGCCTAACTAAGGAAAAACAGTCATGTTGGGCATATTGTGTTATCAAGTGTCAGTGACTGCTACTATACTAAAGAGCCTCTACAAATGCTAAATTCACTTTTACCATGTGTAACATAATAAGGCAAGTTTTTATCCGCACTGCCAGAGTAGAAGTAGACTCTGGGTCGCCTCCATAAAAATCCGCTTTCGTTGTCAATGCCAATACTGATTTTGCGGTCCACGTTACCGAGGGCCCCTAGCACGTCTTTCAGCACTCCATATGCTAGAGTAGCACCAGCAATAACAGTTCCTGGATCAACTAAAATAAAAAAAAACAGTCTCTAAAGTTTGTAACAACCGAAATCGTATTAAAACCTTACTACATAGCAGTTATTAGTTGTACGGGTTTAAAGAATCCACCAATTAACAGACCTTCACTTGGTACTCGTTAGGTCCAGTTCCGGCTCTCTCTGTGTGTCACGCAACGCTAAGGTCTTGGAAGAGGCAGAGAGAGGGCCAGAATGGGACAAGTCACTCGACTGATGACAAAATGTTCAGTGTTAGACTACTTCCTAAACTATTACCTCCTAATTCACGAGTGGTGGCAAACTGTTGCAGTACTGTCATGTTATCTTTGCAGGGCTACCCTAGCTAAAGTTGCAACTTCTGGAATAGTTTTTAATCTTTTTTTGTACAGTATTGTATAAAGGCTTTGAATTTTTCTCAGACCGATAAAGTAACAGCNCATGTGTAACATAATAAGGCAAGTTTTTATCCGCACTGCCAGAGTAGAAGTAGACTCTGGGTCGCCTCCATAAAAATCCGCTTTCGTTGTCAATGCCAATACTGATTTTGCGGTCCACGTTACCGAGGGCCCCTAGCACGTCTTTCAGCACTCCATATGCTAGAGTAGCACCAGCAATAACAGTTCCTGGATCAACTAAAATAAAAAAAAAAAACAGTCTCTAAAGTTTGTAAATACCGAAATCGTATTAAAACCTTACTACATAGCAGTTATTAGTTGTATGGGTTTAAAGAATCCACCAATTAACAGACCTTCACTTGGTACTCGTTAGGTCCATTTCTGGCTCTCTCTGTGTGTCACGCAACGCTAAGGTCTTGGAAGAGGCAGAGAGAGGGCCAGAATTGGACAAGTCACTCGCTGATGACAAAATGTTCAGTGCTAGACTACTTCCTAAACTATTACCTCCTAATTCACGAGTGGTGGCAAACTGTTGCAGTACTGTCATGTTATCTTTGCAGGGCTACCCTAGCTAAAGTTGCAACTTCTGGAATAGTTTTTAATCTTTTTTTGTACAGTATTGTATAAAGGCTTTGAATTTTTCTCAGACCGATAAAGTAACAGCTGTTGTTTATAGAACGGGTCACTGGTAAAATGTTATCCTCACCTAGCCTGCCACATTAACAGGCTCCCGGCGAGCACCTCGTCCCGTCCCGATCGCTTGGCTCTCCGAATTCTTCAGTTTCGCGCTCGCTTTGCTCGCCAATTTTTTTTCCGTCCTCGCCGGGAGCCTTTTCGCAAGCTATATTTCAGTTAAATTTGTCACGAATCAAACATCCTTATAACACTATCTCGATCAACTTTTTATCAAATGCTTTAACAACTGTTGTTCGGTCTTGAGTCTCATCCTGGTCTATAACTATATACACAATCCATTTCATGTGTCTGTCCACTAATTACAATTACAAATTAAAAGATAGCTTACCTCGCTTCGACATTTCGCTCTCTTGGTCTCTCAAACCCTTCTGCCCCTGCAATTTAGCTTCCGCGTCACTTTCCATGTCTGAGTTTGATTGATTAGATTGTTCCAAAATGGCCTCAAGTTCCTATGTAGAAAAAAATAGAGAATACTCAACCCATTCAGCTGGTATCATCTTTCTTATCCCTTCTCTAGTCTGCCGGAATTATATTATAAGAATTACCTTAATTAAATGCAGCATCAATGAAAAAAGGTAAGTTTAAGTCTGCATACAAGCCAAGTGGCCCATCAGGGCAAAGCTTACCCCGGTTTCTCTAACAGGAAGCGACTAGGAATATTTCTACTCCCCCCTGGATGGGATGCTAGTCCATCGCAGGGTAACCCCAGCATTAAATTCGCCGGTACCCATTTGTACACCTGAGTGGACAGAGGCACTGAGAGTAGAGTGTCTTTCCCAAGAACACAACACAATGTCCCCGGCCAGGGCTCGAACCCAGACCGCTCGATCCAGAGACGATCGCGCCTCCAGAAGTGCAGCACCAATACCATGGCCGAATATCGCTCAGGAAATTTCGATGCTGTATCTATTTTGTAGCTAAAGATCCTACATACTTTCAACATTCGATCACTTACTATATTTAAGTACCAAAGACTGTGAATTTTTTTCAAAAAAAAATGAAAGAATTAAAGATTGTTCGCCTCACTGGGACACCAGAAACAGGAAAACTAAGTTTACTTCGGTTAATAAATATTTACACCTTTCATTCTTTCAAAGAAAGCGTCTTTTTTACCCAGCGGTGATCCGGATAAAATTTTAAATCAAATAGTATGTGACTCGTGGTTAGTGGTTACGCTATAAAACTACTGTATTTTTTGAGTTGATCAAGTGGAAAAGTAGAAAATTATACCCACAGCAAATAATAAAATAAAATAATAATAATAATGATGATGATGATAATGATAATAATAATTATAATGATATTAATAATAAATGTATCAAAAACATAAATACAATATTTTCTTGTTACCTGACGATTGGGAACCATTTCAGGATAGTGATCCAAACCAGCGTCTGATAGCAATGTCTCAATTTCCTTTGAAAATAAAAAGATGCTAAAATGTTAGAATAACAATCAGCAATACTTTAACCTATCTCTAGACACATTTTCATTTAGGAAAGTTTACACATGGGCTCCTGCAATAAATTAATCCTCTCTGGCCACAGTTTGTTCTAATTCTCGTGTTATCATAACAACACGTAGTTGGAAAAGCCCCAGTGAATCAGTTTACAACGCACAAAAAACATCAGCAACATTGTCACCATTATCGTCATTATTATTGTAATAATTTTTGTTAGCCAGTTATTAATTACTGTAATTGAAACTATTGCCATCATCATTAGGATCAGTTATCATAATTAGTAACCTGAATTTACCTTTTTACTCTCTCGGATTTAATATTCCTGAACTGTATGTTTAATTTATTCTCTTAATATGAACAGCATCAAGTAGCTACGAAAAGTTGTTACCTCGTCATTGGGAGCCATTTCAGGGTACGAGCTTGAATCCGGATCTGATCGCAGTTCTTCTAGTTCCTGGGCGAAGAAAAAATATCCTCAGCGTTAGTAGCTATTGGTTAAAAAAGTTGGTTAAAATCTTACTAGCTACGGACATTATAGGCCGACATGATGTGGGAAAGAAGTTTTGGCTTTAAATTTATACCTTTTTCCTATGCTTTTTCTAACTTATGCCTAGCACATACGTTTTCAGTTCACCCTTGTTAAGGTGTTAAGAATATAAATCCAATCCTTTCACATGTAAACTTTGTGTATTTCAATGAAATTGTGGTCGCTTGATTTTTCTTCCATAAGTGTTTACGTAAGCGCCAGTTCCAGCATGGATTGCCATATTCTGGCTAACGCTTTGATTTGTTGAAGCTTTTCATCTGCTTTGACATTTTTCATGCTGATGCCTTCGACTCGACGTTCAATCATGGTGTAAAAAGGACCACAAATTCTACGATTCCAAGATAGACACCATTTAATTTTGCGAACAAAAAGTTTGAGCAGAAGGGCTAACATGAGTCAATTCTTTTTACCTCTCCATTTGGATTCTTTGCCTTGATCGCAGATCCATAGGTAGTGGTAGTAGTAGTAAGCGAAACGATTAACAACAACGAGAAGACGAAACTGAGGTGGTCCATTTTCAACCTAGGAAACGATAAAGAAACAGAACATTCAATTCAAGTGACAAGAAGTTCAACAGACTTCTCGAAAGTTGCTTCAAAAAAGATCTCGGTTAACCTTGGTAACAAACACTGTTAGGCGACAATTAAAAGATAAAATACAGAAAACTGAGTTGCTATTTCCCTCGTTGTAACCATTTCTGCATAACCTTATAAGCCTCTATGTAAAATATATCTGTACAGGTTGGTACCTACTTATTCTTAACCTAAAAAATCAGCATCACTTACCAAGTGTCTTAAAAGTGGCTGTTCAGTCAGCGTTTACCAGTGTCGTCGCGGCGAGCAGCTTCGTAAAACTACAAAAAACCCAAGAAGGCGATCTCTATTTATAGGGAAATTTTGGGAAAACAACTCATTAAATCTTTTAATTAATAGGAAAAAGTTTGGAAAAACAAATCCATTCAAAATGGGCAAGACGGGAAAAAATGTTTTAATTGATATTATGGCGTGCGCAATGCTTTTAAAGTTCTTCAATTTATTGTTTTCGTGGCATCCGAACACTGCGGAAAGTTACCTTTTAAAATTAATGGTTTCCTGAAGCCCTTCACTCTGAGGCTACGTCAAGAAATCTG